TCCTCTTCCTCTATCTCTTCCTCTACCTCTACCTCCTCCTCTTCCTCTTCCTCTATCTCTTCCTCTTCCTCTACCTCTTCCTCTTCCTCCCCTTCAAAGTTTTTTTGCACTTTCAATGAAATCTCTTCTAAAATCTGGGTCAACGAGAGACAAAAAGGAAAACAAAAGTCGAGTTTCTCTTTCACATATCAGGCAACGATTGATTGCGTTCACTTGATGCCAGCTGAAGAAAAAAAAGGATCTGAGAGAGAAAGAAATTGACAGGGATTTATGATATTTTTAATACAATACCATAAACTTTGAGAAAGACTTGATATTTTTGATTTTACAAACACTAGATGAAGCTTTTGGGCGCTACAATCGCTTAGTTGTCACTTTTTTTATAATTTGGTGTAAATTCATAGATAAACTAAACAATTAAACTCATTCGATGGCCCTGAATCTCCTCTTGGAAACTAGAGCATAAAAAGGCAAAAAAAAGCATTTCAAAAATCGAATTTCAACACTCCAACAAGACGGGAATACGGCCAAGAAAGCAAATAAAGTCCAAGAGTTTTGCAAAGTGAACTTTCCCGCTTTCATCTCTTTCTGAATGGTCCAGCTCGGCCCAGCTCGGCCCAGCTCGGCCCAGCTCGGCTCAGCTCGGCCCAGCTCGGCCCAGCTCGGCCCAGCTCGGCTCAGCTCGGCCCAGCTCGGCTCAGCTCGCCGGATTTCAATTCGATGGATTTTCTGATCCATCCTTGAGGCAAAGCTTCCACAAAACCGTATAAAAGTATTAAAAGTTTGAAGAAAAGTCTTCTGAAAGCCTGGGATGCTTATTTGGTGATTGTGGGACATTTGATACGCGTCCCGTCCCTTTGCCATTACCAATCCAACTTTAAACTCAAATTTCTTGGTGTTGGGCTGTTCAATTTAAATATTTTTGGTATCATTAGATGCGCCAAGTCTTTCTCTGTCGATTTTAGATCAAATATTTCACAAACTTTTAGAGCATTGACGAATGGAGCTGCAGCCGCCCCAGCAGTCGTTGTTGCTGCTCCAGAAGCAAGCGAAAAAATTCAATTGAAATAGTTTTTGTACCAATCGACAGAGAAAGTCTTGGCGCATCTAATGATATCAGAAATATTTAAATTGAACAGCCCAACACCAAGAAATTTGAGTTTAAAGTTAGATTGGCAAAAGGGGCGTGGCCAGAAAGACCTTTTATACGCGCCCCGCCCCTTCGCCATTGGCAAACTTTGAGTTCAAATTTCTTGGTGTTAAGCTGTCCAATTTCAATAATTTTTGAACTAATCAATAGAGAAAGAATTGGCGCATCTAATGATTTCAAGAATATTTAAATTAGTCGCCCCAACACCAAGATATTTGAACTCAAAGTTAGATTGCCAATGGCAGAAGGGGCGGGGGGCGTATAAAAGGTCACCCTTTGCCATTGGCAGTCTAACTTTGAGCTCAAATTTCTTGGTGTTGGGTGGACGAATTTAAATAGTTTTTCTACCAAACAACGGAGAAAGACTTGGCGCATCTAATGATATCAAAAATATTTAAATTGGACAGCCTAACACCAAGATATTTGAGCTTAAAGTTGGATTGGCAATGGGAAAAGGAGCGGGGCACGTAACAAACTAAATCGATCTAGCATGATCTCTAAAGTAATTTCTGATCTTCCTCTACCTCTTCCTCTTCCTCTACTTCTTCCTCTACCTCTCCCTCTTCCTCTTCCTCTACCCCTTCCTCTAGCTCTTCCTCTTCCTCTACCTCTACCTCTACCTCTTCCCCTACCTCTCCCTCTTCCTCTTCCTCTACCTCTTCCTCTACCCCTTCCTCTTCCTCTACCTCTACCTCTACCTCTCCCACTTCCTCTTCCTCTACCCCTTCCTCTTCCTCTTCCTCTACCTCTTCCTCTTCCTCTTCCTCTTCCTCTTCCTCTACCTCTCCCACTTCCTCTTCCTCTACCCCTTCCTCTTCCTCTTCCTCTACCTCTTCCTCTACCCCTTCCTCTTCCTCTTCCTCTACAGTAATTTCAAATCTCCGAATCTCAAATCTTTGAATTTTAATTTTTACTTTATTCTTCATTCATTTCAAATAAAGATTTTAAAAGAAAAATTTGCTCTGAAAGTTTAATTTTGTCTACTTCTCTACATCTAACTATTTTGTCTCAATTTTGTCTTAATGTCTTAATTACTTTTTATCTGCACCTACAGTACTGGACAATGAAATATCATATTTGAAAAACGATCGTCACTTTCACACTTTCTGGCGAACTCAAGTAGAAAGGATGTGTTTACAATTTTTGAGCACAAAGTACCGACAATAAGTGCCAGAAAGATAGCAGCAACTAGACAAGATAGTAAACAAGTCTACACACATTTTTCTGCTCATAAATCGCCTAAATATTTTTTTGTGCTGTTCAAGAATGCTATAAAGTGACTATGCTAGGTGCACAAAGTTGAATTTCTTTAGCTTCAAATAAAGAATGGAAGATGTTCAGGAATCGTGCTTTTGCCACCTTTTTTTATCATATACATTACTGGACAATGAAATATGATATTTGAAAAAACGATCGTCACTTTCGCGCGTCTGTAACTCTCTTGTCTTTGAGTTTAAACTATTAGTGTTATACATTTTCTGAAAGCTCTTTTCAAGGGCTACACAATGGTAATGTTAATGTTTAAAAATACTGTAAAGACAAGGGAGTTACAGACGCGCGAAAATGACGATCTTTTTTCAAATACGATATTTCATTGTCCAGTAGTGTATAAAATCCTTTACTTTAAGGCCATCCTTTATTCCATCTTTAAAATCTATTTATAATCTCGATCGTTTTTCAAGTGCTTTCAAACAGGTGCACTCCCATTCATTCACCCCAAGTTCACGTCCTTAACCCATTTCTCCTATGGCAGAATTGAGACTTGCGAGATTTCTATTGAGGAAACCTCAAGAAAATCCCGGGGCTAGGCTTTTCAGTGAGATTTCGATGAATGGAAAGAAAAGGGGAGGAAAGGTGGGGAAAGAAAAGAAAACTGTGTCTCTGGGTGTTGGTAATCGGAAGGGAACTCGGTCAAGGACATCTCCCCCCATTCACTTCAGTCCCGCTTCCATCCCTTTGGAACTCCCGAAATTTTACCCCGGGATTCATCAGAAAATCGAAAATTTGAGAAAACTGAGAAAACTGAAATATGGAAGTGCTGTACAAGGATTAGTGTAGCTGTCCAAGGATTACTGTAGCTGTAGCTGTATTGTTGTCAAAAATTTCTCCTTTTAAACACGATTAACCACGAACTAGCCCTTGCTGTTTACCGTAGCCCGCTTACGGTAAACAGCTTATAAGAAAAATATCATTTTTAACTATCACTTTACGGACGATGTTTGCAATAAAAATCCTCAACTAGCATCCAGTTAAAGCGACTATTTTATAAGATAATAAAACAAATTCAATAATATAAATTAAAGATTGAAAAAAGACGTGTTTAAGCCCTAGGAATACCCTCAAAAATCTCTCACTATTCTCAAAAAGGGCAAGAATTGGCCCCAGGAATTTGAGCATAGTGGTGCGCGGAGCGACAGAGACGGCTCAGTCCCTCGCCGCTCCTTTCTCCTTCTGGAATTGGACCATCCTTCTTGAAACAGCCTCTCGAGCAGTGAATGAGAGCCTCTCGATCCATCCAGGGCCGTCCAACACAATTTGCTTCTTTCCTGGGGCCGGAATGCGCCAGGAATTTGAGCATGGTGACGCCGCACGGCGCTTCACCTTACCAATTCGAAGAAGGAGCACTTATCTATTGGGACGGTGTGCCAGAAAGCGAGCGATTGTGCATCCAGTCATCCAGTCACAAAGAGCATCCAGTCATTAACAGATATTCTTCTTTTGCTTTGTAAATAATATAAAAAGAAGATATTCAGCTGTGATTTTGTACGCGAGGATTTTCGGGATCGGTGAATCGATTGGCTGTATTCATTTAAAGTTTACCAACTCGGGTTTAGTTGGTCTAAATGTTTAGATAAAATTCGTAAGTCAATCTTGAAGATTTCTTGAAGATTACTGCAAGAAATCTTCAAGAAGTCGAAGCTCTTCAAGATCAAGAAGCTCTTCAAGATCAAGAAGCTCTTCAAGATCAAGAAGCTCTTCAAGATCAAGAAGCTCTTCAAGATCAAGAAGCTCTTCAAGATCAAGAAGCTCTTCAAGATCAAGAAGCTCTTCAAGATCAAGAAGCTCTTCAAGATCAAGAAGATCTTCAGGATCAAGAAGCTCTTCAAGATCAAGAAGATCTTCAGGATCAAGAAGCTCTTCAAGATCAAGAAGATCTTCAGGATCAAGAAGCTCTTCAAGATCAAGAAGATCTTCAGGATCAAGAAGATCTTCAGGATCAAGAAGCTCTTCAGGATCAAGAAGCTCTTCAAGATCAAGAAGATCTTCAGGATCAAGAAGATCTTCAGGATCAAGAAGATCTTCAGGATCAAGAAGCTCTTCAAGATCAAGAAGATCTTCAAGATCAAGAAGCTCTTCAAGATCAAGAAGCTCTTCAAGATCAAGAAGATCTTCAGGATCAAGAAGATCTTCAGGATCAAGAAGATCTTCAGGATCAAGAAGCTCTTCAGGATCAAGAAGCTCTTCAAGATCAAGAAGATCTTCAGGATCAAGAAGATCTTCAGGATCAAGAAGCTCTTCAGGATCAAGAAGCTCTTCAAGATCAAGAAGAAATCTTCAAGTTCAAGATAAAGATCCCTGTCATTCTTATAAAGCACTAATGGGTTATTCGTACTTCAAACTACATCCTTTCTCTTTTCTCTCTTTTTCCATTTCCCCTTTCGGCTTCCCTTTTTCTTCCAAAGCCTTGATTTGACTTAAACGAAGCGATCAAAAAGCTTAAGCATTAGAAAAGTCCGATTCTAAGAAAAGAAATTCTTATTGCTGAAAATGATATTCATTTAAGAACTCTATTTGCATATTGATTTCTTTGTTCTATTATTCTAATTGTTCTATTGCTCTAATTGTTCGAATGGCTCTCAACGATAAATCGCTGGTATCACAAATTACGGAAAGTGGCATTCAATATGCAGTTGAGGTAAGTTTTACATTTAAAAATTGATTTTAACAATCGATCTTTGGATCTTTTTGGATCAATATAGATCTTTTTTTTGTAATTTCTATTTTAAAGTTTGCATTTACTTATTAAATTGTCAAAAATTCACATTTTGAAAGCTTTTAAAATGAATTAGAATATTTAAGTGGTTCTTAGAGATTTCCAGTCAAAGTTTTGAATCTTTTAAACTTCAAAGTACCCTAAAGTCGCGAGTATAAGTTCTGTTTGGTTTTCGCATGCAAATTGACGGCTGTCTCCGTATGAGATCAAAAAAAGAACCGTATTGGAACCTCGTTATCCCCGTTAGCATAACTTTTTTGCTTTTTAAGAACAATAATAGAAGTAAATTTGTTGAGGGTTATAGCAATTTTATGCTGTTATTTGTGGCTCCGGGCGTGGCTCGGCGCGTCCGCCCTGCTCCTCTCCGGTGCTCAGTCTTATGGATCCCTCCCTGGCCTCTTCATCCGGTCAAAGTCCACGTCGACGGTCGAAAGAGATGCTTTCCAGCATCTTCTTCAACACTATCGTCTGGATGTACGCCTCCACGGACTCGACAATGCCGATGTCCTTTGCGTATTGTCTGTGGTAGTTCGTTACTACCCCGTCCCACGTCATCACATATGGGATAATTCTCGTCTTGCACTTCATCTCAGCTCCCAGGCTATTTGCCAACACATCATATTTCCGCTTCTTCTCGGTCTCCACGGTTTGCAGTCGGCCCTGGCTTGTAATGCCGACCTCGATCAGGGTCACCTCATGGCGCTTCTTGTCGTGTACAAGAATATCAGGCCGGTTAGCCTGGGTCTTGGTTGACGTCTGCACCCTTGTGTCTACTCTGATCTCGACATTCTCGTTGGCCACAACCTCCTGCACCGAGTGAACAAATAGCAATGGTGATAGGCTGTCACCCTGTAGTATCCGGCGCTCCAAGAACAATAATAAAAGTTTATATAACAATTAAAATGTATAAAAACCCTACAAAAAGAAATTCAAAGCAATTAAAGCGAATGTAAATTAAGGCAGAACTTATACTCGAGACTTTAGGGTACTGTAGATTATTCAAAGTACTGTACTGTAGAAGCCAAAGAATAAAAGAACCATAAAATCGATTTTTATTATAGTTTCTTTACTTTTTGAATTCAGTACTTGGGCAGCGTACCCATCGAGTCGTCGATTCTTGAGATGACAACTGATCTCCGAGTGCTCGTCATTCAGTGAGTCATTTGAAAAATTCTAAATACATTTATTCACAAGAATAATTATCTAAGCCGTAGGGAAGAAAAAAAGGAAAAAGAAGCAATAATCCAGCCAGCAGGATTGAACCCACGACCTCTCGACTAGGATACCAGGCCCTTAGCCACTCCGCCATAGCTGCCAACGACCACTAGCTCAAAACTCGCGACTAGTAAAAGCTGACTCAAAAAAGCAACCAGCATTCACTGGCAGTTCATAATCGTCATTAATCTCGGGAGCCCCCAGGTCACCATGGCCGATTGGCTAAGAGCTTTGTATCCGAGTCGGGAGGTAGTGGGGAGGCCAAGGGTTCAATCCCGGCGATCAGGTTTCTGGTTCTTTTTTCCATATACAGTCGAACTTCGATATAACGAATCGCTCGGGACCAAAAACTTCGATATAACGAACTTAAAACTTGCCCGAAATGATCTGCGTAGCTGTCCTGGACGGCTACTGATTGCATTTGGCTGGAGCAGCTACGCAGAAATTTTTAGAGTTTCAAATTCGTTGTATCGAAGTTCGTTATATCGAAGTTCGACCGTAGATGGGTTTTCCCTAAATTTAGAGCTTAGGAATGCTTGTGTAGTTTGTACTAATTGTACTAATTGTACTTTGTGTGAATAAATGAATAGTACGATTGATTTAAAGTGAAAGTACGATAGTGAAAGTACGATAGGGAAAGTACGATAGTGAAAGTATGATAGGGAAAGTACGACTATGATTTAAATTGAAAAAAACGGAACTATGAACTTTCCAAGAATGAAAGGAAACAAAAACGTAAACGAAAACTTGAAAAAATCCTTAAAACTTGAATTTCTAATGGCTAAAATTTCTAATGGCATTTGGCAATGGCAACTAAAATTGCAAAAATGATCAATTCTTTCGATTCAGTGAATGCATCTACATGTTGGCAAAAGAGCATCAGTTGATCGAGCCAAAATTCGAACGAGATTTGAATAGAGTAGCGCAAAAGGTTCGTTTAAAGTCGACAAAACTTTTATTTCATAAAAGAAAACCGTAAAAGCACTGAGATCATAAAAAAAGAGTCGATAAACTAGAAAAATATATCTAAAAGACTAGAAAAGGTTGTTTAAAAGGTTGTTTAAAAGGTTAAAATTACATTTTCAATTAAAGTTTTGACTTTTCAATGACTTTTCAATGATTCATCATCTCTTTTCATCATCATTTCAACGATTCATCATCTCTAAAGCCTCTTGCTCCAAATCGCGATCACCATTACTAAAAAAAAACAGTTATAAAACAGTTATAAAACTTTATAAAGCTTTATAAAACTTTATAAAAAGCTTTTTTTAAAAAGATATTTTAAAGATAGATTGATTTTATAAAGAAAAATAAGTTTTTAAAGTTTTTGAAGTTTTTTTTTTGGATACCTTTGAGCATTGCTGACAGTGATTAAGTTGTAAACGGGTTCTAGATCGCTTGGAATGTGTTGAAGATAGCTGAAATTGATTTAAAGTGATTTAAATATCTTCTTTATCAATATCTTACGGGAGTGGGACAAATGCGACCTTTTTTTTTGCGCACCTGGACATTTGCGCACCTTTTTTTGCTGGAAAAGGCCTTAAGAAAGGTCGTAGAGCTTCAAAAATATTTCCATATAAGGGAATCGTATGCGTAGATTCCGAATTTCGACAAATCAGACCTCGCTGACACGTCAAATTTGGGCTGACAGGCAAAAACTGCGGAAAAGCGTTAAGTTGCGTAGTTTTTGCCTTTTAGCCCAAATTTGACGTGTCAGCGAGATCTGATTTGTTGAAATTCGGAATCTACGCATACGATTCCCTTATATGGAAATATTTTTGAAGCTCTACGACCTTTCTTAAGGCCTTTTCCAGCATAAAAAAAGGTGCGCAAATGTCCAGGTGCGCAAAAAAAAGGTCGCATTTGTCCCACCCCCATATCTTACTTAGAAATCTCGATATAAGATCATATATTTGAGAAATTTACATAATTATCGAATAATCCAGAAAGCACACCTTTTTCTATGTGTTTTTGTGTTCAAAAGTGTAAAAGCACCGACTCTGGTGCACTGAATTCTCTATTTTTTTAGTATTTACAAGCAAAATAAGCAATTCCGTGCACCAGAAACGATGTGTTTATGTTTTTATGCACAAAATACGATTCAAGAACAAACATTCATTGTATTCTTGTAAATCCACCCTTTCTGGCGCACTGAATTCCGCATTTCATCTGCAATTTTAAACATTTGCTCCAAGAAAAATGATTTATTGAGTGCGCCAGAAAGGTGTGTTAACTTGTGAGCACAAAGTGCGCAAAATGTACGCACAAAGTGCGCAAAAAGTACTCAAAAAGTACACTCACCGATGCGCCAAAGCGCTCTTCGCCGTGTATCGACTCTCGGGCTGATAACGTAGCATTTCCTAGAAATTTGCATAATCTATAAATATCTATAAATCTAAAGCTTTATTATCTATAAATCTATCTATGAAGCTATCGCTTTATTATCTATAAATCTACTATATAAGGCACTAAGATGTCTGTCTGTCTGTGCGCACTACCCATGTTTAGGTCCAAAGCCTGGTTCATTGGCCCATAAGATGACTGCCTGTCTCAGATTTAAAATCGATCGGGTAATTAAATCGATGAACAATCCGGAATGGTCAACTTTCAATAGTTAACTATTTCAATCTGGCCAATCTGCTATATAAAAAGGGACTAAGACGTCTGCCTGTCTGTGCGCACTACTCCTCCGCGCCCAGTGCACAGTTTTAAATGCTTTATAGTTAGTTTGGCTTAGAATTTCATGTAGTTGTGGAAAATGTTTTAAAATTTTTAAAAAACCAAAATTGCCGACTCGGGGAGTCGAACCCGGGTCGTGTGGGGTAGAGGTAAGCGCGCTCGCACTGCACCATCTACTGGCCGAGTAGGTTCCCAAACGAACGGAGGGAAGTGGTCGCGGACTCGCCTTTCTACGCGAATGTTTTAAAAGGCTTCTTCCTAGCTGGGGAACGCTGCATTGGTCCTAGCTGGGGGAACGCTATATTGGTCCTAGCTGGGAAAAGCTACATTGGTCCTAGCTGGGGAACGCTACATTGGTCCTAGCTGGGGAACGCTACATTGGTCCTAGCTGGGAAAAGCTACATTGGTCCTAGCTGGGGAACGCTACATTGGTCCTAGCTGGGAAAAGCTACATTGGTCCTAGCTGGGGAACGCTACATTGGTCCTAGCTGGGAAAAGCTACATTGGTCCTAGCTGGGGAACGCTACATTGGTCCTAGCTGGGAAAAGCTACATTGGTCCTAGCTGGGGGAACGCTATATTGGTCCTAGCTGGGGAACGCTACATTGGTCCTAGCTGGGGAACGCTACATTGGTCCTAGCTGGGGAACGCTACATTGGTCCTAGCTGGGGAACGCTATATTGGTCCTAGCTGGGGAACGCTACATTGATCCTAGCTGGGGGAACGCTATATTGGTCCTAGCTGGGGAACGCTATATTGGTCCTAGCTGGGGAACGTTACATTGTCTAGTGGATAACGCATTAGGCTCTCGTCCAGAAGACCAGGGTTCGGTCCCCAATGCAGTTTTTTTCTTTAATTTTCTCAAGCAAGTTCTAGCATTTTGCATCGAGTGGCCGAGTGGTTAACGCGCGCGTCTCTCAAACGAACGGAAGAGAGGTCGCGGGTTCGGCTGCTCTCGGCGCCAATTCTTTTGCTTTTTGCTTCAAAAGAAGAATTGGCCGAATTTTTTGCCTTTTTGGACTTATAGAGATTAATTTATTTATTATACAAGCAAAAGATTTCGATTTACAAGAGATACCGGCAGCGAAGCCTCTGCTAGATCTATAGCTTTATTATCAATAAATCTATTAAAAAAACTCTCAAATTAAGACTATTTCTTATAGGAATTAGTCTTAAATACTTTTTTTAGTCACTGACCTTTATCAAATCGAATCCCTCCTCGTCTAATGGATGCATCTTCTTCTAAACTTTTAAAAATCAAAAATCTATCTAAATCTAACTCTAAATCTAAATCTAAATCTAAATCTAAATCTAAATCTAAATCTAACTTTAAATTATTATCTACCTTTCTATCTAATCTATAATTTCCATTAGATAGCTTAAAATTATTCAAAACTCTTACCCGAAACTCCTCTTCATTGTACATCCATTTCGGGAAACTGAACTGATAGTCGGGCAGCCGCTCGACTTCAACCCAACTCTAGAGAAATTTTAGAAGAATTTCATTCGAATACTATTTATTAACATTAATATATTCTCTATTTATCTATTAGAATATTAGTTTTTCAAAAAATACCGTTGAATCTGGTGTGCCCAGTACGCGAAAAATGTAGAAGAGTTGATCAATCTCAGAGTCGCCCATGAAAAGACTCCGACCGCGAACCATCTAGAATTATTTGCACTTAGATCAATAGCTTTATAGCAATAGCAATAGCTTAAACATTTATAGAAGTTTCTGGATACTAAGTTTATTGAATTTTATTCTAAAAAACGATTATTTGTGTAAGTACTGGATTTTAAAATCCAGACTCTGTGATATTGAGACTCAATGATTCTCTAAAGCCCTTAAAAGTCGATCAATTGATTTAGAAGGGAAGTTTATCATAAATTATAAAAGAAATATATCAAATCATGAAATATTTATAAGCTTTTTATAAGATCGATAAGTAAAAACAGGCTTTAGGCCTTGCAAGTTGCTCTAAGCAATTGTTTTAGAGCAACTCAGTTGCTCTAAAAGCAATTGTTCTTCAGTTACAACTAGGCTAAGACTTGCTTGGCTTTACTGCTGCTTTACATTGGCTATTGCAATTTTGCAAATTCACTAGAAGTCAGATATTCTTCTGATCTAACCCAAGAACTTTTTGTGAGCCAGCAGTAAAGCCAAGCAAGTCTTAGCCTAGTTGTAGCTGAAGAACAATTGCTTTTAGAGCAACTCAGTACGATAAAGTACGATAAAGTACGATAGAGTACGATAAAGTACGATAAAGTACGATAGAGTACGATAGAGTACGATAGAGTACGATAAAGTACGATAAAGTACGATAAAGTACGGTAGAGTACGATAAAGTACGGTAGAGTACGATAAAGTACGGTAGAGTACGATAAAGTACGGTAGAGTACGATAAAGTACGATAAAGTACAATAAAGTACGATAAAGTACAATAAAGTACGATAAAGTACGTTAGAAATTGCCCGAAAATTAAATGTTGGCGTGAATGCTTGATCTACTGGTGTACTTTGTGTTCACCTCTAAACACACGCTTTCTACTGCACTGGATTCCAGTTTTCTTGTGATAGAAAGAGTCGTTTCTTTGAGAAAAGAGAAATTTGAAAGGATTCATTGCTCCAGAAAGTTTGCGTTTACAAAATTCGAGCACAAAGTACGAGGAAAGCGTGTTTGCTGTGTGTTTTTTAGCTGAATATTCTATAAACAATAGAATAAAGACTTAACGTAAATACTGTCCTAGTACCCCAGCCCCATAATGACGGTGCGGAGCATCGCGTAGTCTAGCTTTGAACGAGTTTTTCTCGACACTGGTTTATGCTACAATGCTCGTTTAGATATCAAAAAATAGCTGAAATTCAGGGCTATTTTTTGATACCTAAGCGCGCATTGTAGCATAAACCAGTGTCGAGAAAAACTCATTCAAAGCTAGACTACGCAACGCTCCGCACCGTCATTATGGGGGTGGGGCGCTAATACAGTATTTATAGGATTTCTTTACTTTTTTTCTTTTAGATCTCACCGCAACGCCGTGAAAAAGAAGTCGTTTAAATGATTCTCTTCAGAAAATCTTTCAAATAATCCAAAAGTATCCAAAAATATCTCTAATTTTTAAAATCTAATTTATTTTATGCAAATGCTTTTCCAGATTTTTCCTATTTTTCTTATTTTTCTTATTTAAACGCTGTGATAAAAATGTCCAAATTTACATATTTCTATAAATTTGCATTTCATTTGCGTCATTCGGTGCTCAAATTTTGTCTTTCTTTTTTTCTTTTTTCGATTTTGGATAGGCTAATTTCAGCAATTTCAGCAACAGCAACTGGATCATTTGCGCAACTCGCTCAACTCGCCATAACTCTCTTCTAAGTGAACCAATCTTTATGATTTTTGTGTCATTTTGTAGATCTCATTGAGATCTACAAAATGACACAAAAATCATAAAGATTGACCGACTTAGAAACAAGTTAGTTAACTTCTAACTTTAAAAAGTTAGAGTTGCGCAAAAAATTTGGAGCAAAGTAGTAAAGTAGCAAGAGAAAAGGGGAAAAAAGAGGAGTGATAAAGAAAGAGACGAAAAACAGACAAGAATTGGAAAGGAGCGTCGCGTAGTCGAGCAATTTCCTCTGTTTCAGACAATGGTTACGCTTGGGATATCGCGAAACTACAATTATTCCAATATCAACTCATTTCCGTCAATTTCTCCAACTCTAACCTCGATTTTGGTTTCATTTTGTTACACTTATTGAGATCTACAAAATGAAACCAAAATCTAAAAGATTGGTACACTTAGAAAAAAGTTATGGCGAGTTGCGCAAATGGCCCTGTTGCGCAAACGAGCCAGCTGCGCAAATGACTCAGTTACTCAAAACAAATTGCGGAAATTAGCCTGCCCTCTGATTTCTGTACATTTACGGTATTATTCATTCTCTTTAATGTTTTTAATGTTTTAAATGTTTCAAATAATATTCAAAAACATTTATTCACATATAAATGAAAATTGGGATGCACCAAAACACATGACAGAGCTCGAGAACTCAAACTCGCGCCAACTGCAATAGAGCAATGGGGTCAGTGTCTTGGATGTTGTGAGAATGTGGAGATGTCTTCTCCACATGGTTCTCACAACATCCAAGACAAATCGGTGAACCAGGAGTTGGACGAGACGTATATTTCCAAGCGCAAATACAATCGTGACAGAATTCCCGGTCAAAGAAGGATGTGGTCGTTCGGCGGAATCGAATGTGGCTCCATGCAGTTGGTTCAAAGACGGGATGCACCCACCCTTCTCAGCATTGTGCAAGCTTGCGTTCGACCCGACAGCAACCTCTACACTGACTTGTGAGGTGCCTACGTTGGAATTCCAATCTTGCCTCAACTCTACCGTCAACTCTATCGTCAACCGTTAACCACCAGCGGAATTTTGTCAACCAAGCAAATGGCGCCCACTCACAAAGGGCGCAGCAAATGGCACCCACTCACATGCGCTTCAAGAAGTTGATCATCAAAAGGCCAAATAGTGTCAATACTTATTTGCCGATACTTATTTTACTCAGGTATGGGGAGGACTACTTTGCGCCAATTTTTTTTGCGCGACTCGCAACAACTATAACTTTTTTCTAAGTGAACCAATCTTTATGATCTTTGTGTCATTTTGTAGATCCCAATGAGATCTACAAAATGACACAAAAATCATAAAGTTTGGCCGACTTAGAAAAAAGTTATGGCGAGTTGCGCAAATAACTCTGTTGCGGAAATTAGCCTACGCCCTGATTTCTGTACATTTACGGTACCATTCATTCTCTTTAACGTTTTAAATGTTTCAAATAATATTCAAAAACATTTATTCACAGATAAATGCAAATTGTACATAGATTTTTGAAAAAAAACCCGTTAAAAATTAGGAAAATTTAGGGGCAAACCCGTCTCAAATTTTGGGAAAACATTAGAAAACTATAAAACTAAAAAAGCGAACATTTACCTCAAATTTAGCTAACATTTCCTCTGTGATTAGTTAGAAGTCGAAAAATCTATGCTCTCGCAAGATTGTGATCTTCTAATGTCTGCTCGAGAATCACTTTCACCGCCAGCCATGTCTCTTTGGCGATCGGGAGCAGCCAATGAGGACGAACTTGGAAAGCGAACCATGCTGAATCACAAAAAAGAATCTTCTTGTGCTTTTCATCCATTAGATTCTCTTTTATTAGAATCTCTTTTATTATCTTTTATTGGGTTGGGGAGAATGAGTCGGCGCCAAACTTTAAAGGGACTTTTTGCACACATAAAGCCTTCTTTAAACATACGTTTGGTTTCATCAAAAGGATCCACTATTTCTCTACAAAATAACTTTTGAGAGATTCCACAAAGCTTTTCTTTCGTGGAGTTTATGAACTTCCAAACGCAGCTGGCTAAAATGGCAAAGAGTCTGACTCATCATTTGAACAGTTTCTTTCACATAAACCTTCTTTGGTGTTTATATAAAAAAGATAGAGCACATTCAATTACTTAAGTTGCCAAATTTGCAGGAAGATCCCACTAATGGTTTTTTCTAGATGACAGTTTGTAGTTTTTGTGAAAAAATGGCTTTTTCTTGAGCTGTTTGAATTTTCTTTTAAATCTCATTTTGTAGAGAATTAGTTAACCATTCTACTCATATCAAACGCATATTATTTGACGAAGTCGAATAGAAGTTTTAGACATTTTTTTGATTTTCGGCGCCGACTCATTCTCCCCAACCCAATAACTTACATTATAATCTTTATACTTATTATCTTTTAACTTACACTAACTTACTTTTAACTTTAACTTACATACAGTCTTTACTTTACAGTCTCTCTCTATAACAGAACTCTATAAAAGTACATTTATTGGGAGAACATCGCCAAAATAATCCAGTCTCATCAAGAATCTTAATCCATTATAATTTTTTAATTTACAAGAACGTACAGAACTTACAGGACTTACAGGACTTACAGGGACTTACAGGACCTACAAGAACCTACAAGAACCTACAAGAACGTACAGAACTTACAGGACTTACAGGACTTACAGGGACTTACAGGACTTACAGGACTTCCAAGAACTTACAGGACTTACAGAACTTACAGAACTTACAGGACTTACAAGAACTTACAGGACTTACAGGACTTACAGGGACTTAAAGGACTTACAGGACTTCCAACAACTTACAGGACTTACAGAACTTACAGAACTTACAGGACTTACAAGAACCTACAAGAACCTACAAGAACTTACAGGACTTACAAGAACCTACAAGAATCTACAAGAACTTACAAGAAAGATCCGGTGGCAGCTCGAGTACGTAGACGTATTTCGTATTCGTGTTCGCTTTGATCCAATCAGTTGCACCGCCTGTAGCTGGGCCTGAAAAGAAGCTTGATCTCTTGAAGATATCAGTGGTCATAAGTTCATATTTGAGCATGAAAATGTCAGTAAAACTCTTAAAAGAATAAGAATATTAGTTAGTTATTAATCTATACAAAGTTATATCAGGTTTATCAGGCTTTTCGTTCTTTTTCATACTTTCGTTGAAACAAAAAAACAAATCAACCAATTAAGCTATGCTTTTTTCTTTCTTGTTAAAATCTCCATCTTTTTAAGTCAATTTCGGTCAATTTCAGTCAATTTCCGGTCAATTTCGGTTCATTTACGAGCAAATTCGAGAGGGGAAACCCATACTTTCCCTGAAAATCTATAAAAACCTCTACGTAGAAATTGGCTGAATCATTTTCTCTGAAAATTTGACTATATACGAAACTTTTTATGCTCTATCTTTTATCTCTAGACACCAAAATAGGTTTCTTTAAGCTAAAAGCTCTAAATCAAATCATAAAGCCGCCGCCTGTCGCCCGACGACTCGACTTTTCACTACCCGACTTTATACTCTCAAAAAAGCCAAAAATAAGGCATTTTAAACCCGTTTTAATGTTATTTTTCAGAAGAATAATTGCTCTTTCTAATAAAACAAATCGTAGTTTAATTGGTGCATTTTTTCGTTTAAAAACGGAACACGAAAAGATTTTCTGGACCGTCTGACTTTGACCTTGAATTTCTTGGCTCATAATTGTCCAATTGAAACAATTTTGGTATCAATCGATAGTAAAAGACTTGACGAGTTTAATGATACCAATAATGTTTTAATCAGATAATTGTAGGCTAAGAAATTCTAGATCAAAGTTGGCAAAAAAGGGGCGGATCTATTGTCCGAGAATGAGTGACCGTCTAACTTTGACCTTGAATTTCTTGGCGCACAATTGTCCAATTAAAACAATTTTGATATCAATCGATAGAAAAAGACCTGACGAGTTTAATGATACCAAAATTGTTTCAATCGGATAATTGTAGGTCAAGAAATTTGGGGTCAAAGTTAGATGAGAAAAAGAGGCAGAGTTTTTAGGTTCAAAAATTTTGAAATAGGTTTAAATAGGTTTAAAAAACCTATTTTCAGGAATCTTTTTCAGGAAGTATCAATCGGATAATTGTGCGTCGCTTTAGCTCTAAACAAAGTTAAACTCACCGAGCATATCGGCCGCCGTGCCAATCTTGTACTTTGTCTCCCGATACTGGTACAGCGCTTCAGCCGCTCGGAAAGCAAGTCTTTCCTGGATCATCTTTTATTATATTTCGTTCGTTTTCTCTTACCAAATCCGCATAATCTTTTGGATGATGTTTCCGGTGATCATTGTATGGAAGAATCCACAATTGTCCATGGGTATGCATTGAGAAAAACGCGTGGATGCGACCAGAGAGCTCTCGTGACGTCACATAGTCGCGAACGGCTCTAGAAATTTTTAGAAAAGAGTTTTTTTGAAAACCTTATCATCAATCCAACCTTGTCTCGGGTTCACTGAAGGGGAAAGGCCCTTGGAATTCATCGGAGCACGGGTTGTTGAACGGATAGTTTGTCTAGAAAGTTTCGAGTTAACTTTTTGGGAAGCCAATTCAAAAAAATCTAAACAAAATTCATCAAAGATCACCTGGTCGCGTCCGTTTCCTTCCTATTTTCGTTGCTATTTTGCAATTATTCGTGCCGCATTTTTTGCCCTTTTTCTCCCTTCCCGAAATTGTTTTTTTGGTCTTGCCTTCTTTCTTGGGGGACTTTGTTGTTTCATTTTTGAGGCGCATACTGTTTTTGTAATAGGTATTGTTGCATTTTGGTTATGTACTAATAAACAGTAAAATTATAAATTCAACTTACTTTCTGCTACCCTTCAGATTTTAAATCCTGTTTAGATAACTGGTTTAACATTGTAGAGAGAGAGCTTACTAACATTTGTGTCGCCACCGACGAGTATTAATCTTGTGTTGGATGCTGCGCGTTCTTGTTATGTTGTAAGCGCTTTGGGGAAACCCATTTAACCTTCTTTGTGCAATTCGGCTATTCTGAAGCAAAATCATCCTCGATGATAAGGTTAAAGCGGGTCGCACCCCAAACTGTTTTGTGCCACCCAAAAAAGTCACGTTTATCGATTTTTTTTGGTTTAAAAAGCGAATTTCTCGCTGATCGCGTTTCCGTTTCCTTTTCCGTTTCCTTCCTATTTGCGTTGCTATTTTGCAATTATTCTTGTCGCATTTTTTGCCCTTTTTCTCCCTTCCCGAAATTGTTTTTTTGGTCTTGCCTTCTTTCTTGGGGGACTTTGTTATTTCATTTTTGAGGCGCATGCTGTTTTTGTAATAGGTATTGTTGCATTTCGGTTATGTACTAATAAACAGTAAAATTATAAATTCAACTTACTTTCTGCTACCCTTCAGGTTTTAAATCCTGTTTAGATAACTGGTTTAACATTATAGAGAGTGTTTAACATGTTTAACACTGTTTTACTAACATTTGTGTCACCAGCGACGTAGTTTCAATCCGATTCGTACTCTTCTCAAGAGTATTAATCTATTGTTGGATACTACGTGTTCTTGTTACGTTGTAAGCGCTTTTGGGGAAACCCTTTTTAACCTTTTGTGCTATTCGGCCATTCTTAAGGCAGAATCATCCTCGTTGATAAGGTTAAAGCGGTTAAAGCGCACCCCAAACTCTACCGTAAATACTGTAATAGTCGAAATTCATCAAAGATCACCTGTTTAAAAGCGAAATCCCAATTTCGATTTAAATCCACTCCCTCACAACAAACATTTCGCACGGTGAGTGAATGGAAACCGCTGCAATTCTTTGGAGCTCGATTTTTCCGCCATTGCCGAATCTAAAAGAGAAAAAACATTTTTGATTGTATTTTTAAAAGATTGTCGAACATTTGATAACATTTGGCAATAGCAAAAAGGAGCGGAACGTGTATAAAAGGTCACCCGCCCCCTTTCCCATTGGATAACTTTGAACTCAAATATCTTGGTGCTCAGCTGTTCAATTCAAATATTCTTGGTACCATTAGATTCGCCAAGTCTTTTTCTATCGATTGGTACAAAAACTATTGAGATTGAACACGCTCAACACGCTCAACGGACGCAACGGAACAGCTCAACGGACGCTCGCCCCTTTTTTCATTAGCGCAAGTTTAAGCTCAAATTTCTTGGGATCGGATTGTCCAATTGAAATATTTTTGATATCATTAGATTCGTCAATTCTTTCTCTATTGATTGGTATAAAAAATATTTAAATTGGACAACTGAGCATCAAGATATTTGAGCTCAAAGTTAACCAATGGGAAAAGGGACGGGATTACCTTTTATAGGCGCTCCGCCCCCTTTCCCATTGGCTAACTTTGAACCCAAATATCTTGTTGTTGAAATATTTCAATTGGACGGCTGAGCACCAAGATATTTGAGTTCAAAGGCAGTCAATGGGAAAAGGGGCGGGGCGATTGTAAGACCTTTTATACGCGAAGCCCCGCCCCTTTCCCATTGTCTAACTTTGAACTCAAATTTCTTGGTGCTCAGCTGTCCAATTTTTCTAGTTTTTATACCAATCGATAGAGAAAGACTTGGAGAATCTAATGATACCAAAAATATTTCAATTGGACAGCTGAGCACCAAGATATTTGAGCTCAAAGTTATGGCAATGACATCAAATGTTCGATAACCTTTTTCAATTACCAAATCTTTCGTATCGGTGCGACTGAAAACGAAACCATCGGGGTTGAGAACGGGAAAAACGTAGATGTCGAGTTTATCGATGTAGTCGGTGATTCGATCCGATTGCCCATACCTTGTCACGAATTGCTCAATGAAATAAATAGCCGTGTGGAAAGCGGGCCATTCTCGTGCGTGATTCCCGCCGTCGATCCAAACGACCGGCTTGTTCACGCCAGGTTTTCCGATCTGGGAAATCGAGGGGTTTGCACAGTCACAGTTTTCCCAACTCTACCTTTAATCCAAGCAATCTTCTGCCCTCGTGCGTTCGCCCAATGTCTCGGAGTTGAACAAATGACGGATTGCTGTTGGCCACCTAAGAACAGCTGGATCTGGGATCTGGGATCTAGAAACAGCTAGATTCTGTATCTAAACCTATCACTATTTTGGGAATTTACTTTTGACCTTGTCTTTTGACCAGCTTGTCCCATAAAAAGAGCTTTTCCTTGGACAAGCTGGTCAGGCTGACAAGCTGGATAAGCTGGTCTGGACAAGCTGGTCTGGACAAGCTGGTCTGGATAAGCTGGACAAGCTGGTCTGGACAAGCTGGACAAGCTGGTCTGGACAAGCTGGACAAGCTGGATAAGCTGGTCTGGACAAGCTGGTCTGGACAAGCTGGTCTGGACAAGCTGGACAAGCTGGTCAGCCGCTTACTAGGCAAGCGCTCTGCCAATGAGCTACACCAAGACGTGTGGTATCGCTGTCAAATCTCTGTCGTCGTCTTATGCCGTCTGTATCCCTTACTCTTACTTACATCAATTTTTGACTTACATCAATTAGATATTGTTCGAAGTCCGGAAAATCATGATATCTTGTGAGAGGAAATAGCGGCACAACACCGGCCGAAACGAGGCCAAATCTGGAAAAGAAATGGGTTGCTGTCGACGATAAATCTCGCCTTTATCGTCTACAGCAACTCACTAAGACTAAGGAGAAGTAGAGTAATCTTAAATTGAATAGTAAAATAAAGAATAAGCTCTTTTAATAAGCAAAAATACTCACAAAAAAAAGCCGATCGGCAACATGACAAATCGAGAGGATCTTCTCTTCGTTTTACCTCAAAGATTTCAGAAATCACTTCTAAAATATGCAAATTTAAATAGAAATATGAAAAAGGCTTTGATTTGAAAGCTATTGGGTTGGTCAATTGAAAACTGCGGGACTTTGAAGCTCATTACTCATGCTCCGGAATAAATAGTAATCAAAAGGTTCGGACTGTATGGGGAATGCGCCAAAAGTTTCCAAAAGCTCCCAAACAAGGCTATTTATTTTAGAGCGAGTCAGTTTTGCAAAATGAGGGCGCGCGTTGTCGTGGATGAGAACGATCTTTGACTTGGAGGGCTTATTCTTAGAGAGAAATGAGATGCATCGCTGTTGGGTTGGTGAATTGAAAACTGCGGGACTTTGAACTAAAATTTATTGAACATAAAACCATCAATTCATTCCAAATAATTTCCATTATTATTGACGACTTCTGCGCATTTTACAGGCAATTTGCGGATTCCTCTTTCGTGGTAGGATTTTGGTTTGTGTTTGAGACAAGTGTGAGACTCAAAAATGGAGGACTGGAGACTCAAAAATGGAGGAATGTCCCAGTTTGAGCACTTTCTTCAAAAGAAACCCATTTTGGTGTCAATAGAAAAGTTGTAGAGAATCAAAAATTAGGCTTATAGCCAAATTTCCAAAAAGATACACTTAGTACTTTCGCTTAAAATGCAAGTTTTGTGAAAATTCGTAAATTTGGCATTTCTTGAAAACCAGTGTTTTGAATCGTTCTGAAAATTTGGATATAAGCTTGATTTTTGATTCTCTACAACTTTTCCATTGACACCAAAATGGGTTTCTTTTGAAAAAAGTGCTCAACCTGTCACATATGACCATAGCCGGCAGTTTTCAATTCACCAACCTAATATTTTTACTATTTTAACGATCATTTGATGCAAAATGAAATTACGCATCGAATGACACCAAAAACAACTTAAAATATAATATTCATGCAAAATGAAATATTGGTCAAAATACGGCTGAAAAAATGCCCGTACAGTAAGACAGACAGAAAGACAGACACAAAGACAGACAAATACCGTAACCCCCCCCCCCCCTTCCCCTCCTTTTCCGCCATTTCATTTGTGAAAATTCGTAAATTTGGCATTTCTTGAAAACCAGTGTTTTGAATCGTTCTGAAAATTTGGATATAAGCTTGATTTTTGATTCTCTACAACTTTTCCATTGACACCAAAATGGGTTTCTTTTGAAGAAAGTGCTCAAACTGTCACATACCGTATTTCCTCTAATAAACGCCCCCCCCCCCTTGACCAACTTTGGACGCTTCGTTCTCAGCTCCATTTGGAGATATTTTTATGTTTAATATATCAAAAGATAGAAGACATTAAGGGCTATCTTTTGATATATTAAACATAAAAATATCTCAAAATGGGGCTGAGAACGAAGCGTCCAAAGTTGGTCAGGGGGGGGGGCGTTTATTAGAGGAAATACGGTATGACAATTGTCCGCAGTTTTCAATTCACCAACCCAATAGAAATATGAAATATGAAAAAGGCTTAGATTTAAAAGCTAGTTTATCTTTGATTTCTTTTATTTCTTTTATTTTATTTGCTTTATTGCTTATTTTATTGGCTTATTTGATTTTTTCTTTTATCTTTTATGAGATACAGTTGGCTAGTTTTACAATATTTTAAAGCTAAAAAAGGGGTAGGCTAATTTCCGCAATTTTTTTTGCGCAACTCGCCATAACTCTCTTCTAAGTGAACCAATCTTTATGATCTTTGTGTCATTTTCTAGATCTCATTGAGATCTATAAAATGACACAAAAATCATAAAGATTGGCTGACTTAGAAAAAAAGTTATGACGAGTTGCGCAAAAGATCTAGTTGCGCAAATGATCCAGTTGTAAATTTGGCGCAAAGTAGCCTACGCCCTAAAACGCCTACGCCCTATAAAAAGCTATTCAGGCTATCGATTTCTTATTGTAAATGTAAAGTTTTAAAAGAAAAAAACTAAAAGACAAGAATGAATTTTTAAAAAAACGCAAAAGATGAAGATTTGGTCAAAATTCTCTCAAAAAGATGCAAAAAGATAGAACTTTTGAATATGAAAAAGAAAGCTTTCTTTTCAAAAAACCCAATCGAGGTCATTAAGTAATCACTTTCCTTTTTCTTTTTTATCTTTTCTGATAAAAAAAACTTTTTATCACCTGCAACACTTTTTCTTTATTAAGGAAAAGGAAAAGGGAAAAGTTTTGTGATAAACTCAAAGATTTTCCTTTCGTTCTTTCTTTCTTCTCTTTCTTTCTTCTCTTTCTTTCTTCCTCTCTTCTTTCTTCCTCTCTTTCTTTCTTCCTCTCTTCTTTCTTTCTTTTAACAATAATTGAGGCGATAGACATAGAAAAATTGTGATATCTTTTCTTTCAATAAAGTTCATATCTTTCAATCAATTAAATCCGTCTTCTACTTGGTAGATTTAATAAAAGAATAAGAATATCTCCGAAATCTCCGATATTCTCCAATAAGAATCTCTCCAATCGATTCACCGACCCCGAAAACCCCTGGATACAAATTTACAGCTAAATATCTTTTTTTGATATCATTTACAAGCAAAAGAATTACAAAGCAACAGAATCTTTAAATGAAGTGTTCTTTGTGCAATCGCGTAGCCGCTAGCAATCTGGCACACTATTTATACATATAAAGACCGCATTTTCATCGTTTCAAAACGGAAAAATCAGCTCTTTCGTGTATAGAGAGTGTTTGAGACAATGAAAATTAAAATCAATAACATTCAGCAAATCAATCAACAGAAAATCGGTTTCTTATATGTATAGCTGGTGTGCCAGATGGTGTGCGATCGTGTCTGTGCACATTAAAAAGGAAAAACAAAACTTTTGCCAAGATAGGAATCGAACTCGAGCAAAAGTGTCTGGCTATGGTTTGGTATGCAAGCCTCTTATCCACTACACCACCAAGCCACGTTTGCCGTCTCTTAAAGAAACCTTATAAATGCTTCAAATAAAAATCATCCAGCTTCAAATTTAGTCTAATCTGTACTCAAAGATTGGCTAAAAACGCCTATTTTTGATACTAAATCAATTTTCAAACAAAATACAGTAAGAAAAAAGGTATTATTATAGAAAGAAAGAAAATTAGAATGTTTAAATGAGCTAGCTTAAGACTAAGCTAGATTAAGCTAGCTCATTTAAACATTCTAATTGAGCTAGCTTAAGATTAAGCTAGCTCAATTAAGCTAGATCCAGCTAACAAAACGGGTTACTGACACTGGCAAAATGAAGAAGAATCTTGGGAAAAAGGAAAAATAGAAAAGAAAAGCACAAAAGAAAAGCTTCACTGTTGTTAAAAGCGAAAACATTTTGAGTGAAAAAAGAAAAGGGGAAATGGATTTATGACCTCTTAAAATGGAGAAAAACGAAAAAAGAAAAAAGAAAAGAAAAGAAGAAAAAGAAAATTTTAGAGAGATTCGATCCGATTTTGAGGGGAAACTTTTGCAGCAAAAGGGGTGTCGAATTGGCGCTGGATTTCTATTAGAGTTGTTGGAGAAGCAAAGCTTTTAAAGAAGTGAAAAAGAATCAAAAGAAATAGAAAATCAAAAGAAATAGAAAATCAAAAGAAATTGAACTCTTAGAATTCAAATTTATCATATTTTTTGAAAAAAAATGTCCTTACTTCTTTTCTTTAGCACTTTTTGCAGATGTTGACTGCAATTCCTGTACTTTGAACTTCTTGCATTTATTGGGAGGGTGCTTGCGTCGTTTTCGCCATCGCGTAGTCGTTTTCTCCCTTTTGGAAATTCCCTCGTCAAATTTTTCCAAAATCGTCTCCTTGTTGCTCGAAACGATTGAATTGTTCGGTAGCCACAGTGATCCGACACGATCCAACAGTGATCTGCCATTCTGGAGCTTCATCGTCAAGGTCAATGCGCGAGTGCGATCGCGCGATTGCTACGTGTTTCTCATCAGCTCGTCTCAAAAGCGATTAAGCAATACAAGGAGCTTGGTAACGATGGAGATCGTTCAGGAAGAGGCAGAAAAAGAACAGTCAACACCTCCAGAAATCGCAAAGTGATTCAGAAGCGCGTGGCCCAGAATCCACAGGTCTCAATGAGAAAGATCCCTCGACAGATGGGGATCGCTCGCGAATCGGTTCGACTTATGGCCAAAAATGAGCTCAATCTTCACCCTTACAAGCTCAAGCAAGGGCAACAACTCGACGACGAAAAAAAGCGAGTTCGACTCGAAAGATGTCGAGGGCTTCTCAAGCGGGCCGCAACTCCACACTGGGAGCGAATCCTGTTTTCTGACGAGAAGCTCTTCTCGGTGGAGCAAAGCTACCACCACCAAAACGATCGGATTTGGTCAACGTCCTCTCCAGGCAGCTCTGCGATTGTTTAACACCGACAAAATCCCAAATCCGTCATGGTATGGGCCGGAATCTGCGCAACCGGCAAAACTCCTCTCATTTTCATCGATTCTGGGGTAAAAATCAATAAGGATGTGTACCAAAAAAAGATTCTTGAGGATGTTTTGCTTCCATGGGCTCAACAGCATTTTGGTAACGGATTTTGGACCTTCCGACAAGACTCCCCTCCTTCTCATCGAGCCAAATCCACACAGGACTGGTGTAGGACAAACTTTCCGGATTTCATCTCGGCCCAGGAATGGCCTCCGTATTCGTGGGATCTCAACCCGTTGGACTACAGTGTTTGGTCAATTTTGGAGGCAAGGGCTTGTGCAAAACCCCATAGAAGTTTGGAGGCTCTTAAGCGATCGTTGACCAGGGAATGGGATCGAATCACTCCGGCCGAGCTGCGGCCCATCGCCGAAAACTTCATCAAGCGTTTGAGGCTCTGCATCAGAGCCCAAGGTGGCCACTTTGAAGAAAAAGTCGATTTTATGCTCTCTTTATATCATGTTTTTCATAAAAAATTGTTTCTGTTACAAAATGTTTTTGGATTTTTCAAAAATAGGCTAAATGAATTTCAACGCCGCAACGTT